AGAACTTGTCTTCTAATCAAACTAATTCTTAAAATCTTTTTTTTTTCATTATTACCCAAAGCAGCTGACTGCAAACAGCTTGCAGTTTAATTGTAATTTTTTTGTTAAAGATTTTGTGTGTTTAAGAATTTTTGCACAATCTACATAGGGAGCTAACTTTACATAACCATTCCTATTCTCATATTATATGCTAGAAGAAAGGCAGTTAGTCAACAGCATCCACCATCTACACCTTGGCTAGTATTGTCTGACCCAAAGTGCAAAATGAGATTTTACAGAAAGGGGTATTTAAGAAAGAAAGAATAAGGGTTTGGTTCACATTTTGCTTCAACCTGCTCCTCCAGTTTTAGTAAACCTACATGTTAAAAACCTGCTGCTCAACAAATCCATTATAAAATTATTTAACTTTACTTGCTTCAATAGTATTACTATCCCACCATGCTATAGTTCATTAAGAGTTACTTTACCTTTTCAAAAAACTAACTAAGAATGAAAGCAGAAGGAACTCAGAGCCAATTACTTTGTGTGGATAGATCTTTCATTTAACTGCACAATTCAATTAGCACTGAACTTCAGTGAAAAAGTTGGAGAGAGATCACTGCAACATCTCTGCACACCAGTTTTGTGTGTGTGTGTGTGTGTACATGTATACTCTTAACTGATAAAATGTCAATGATATTATATAATAAATTATTTTAAGCTTGTTATCAGTTACTGACTTAAAATCTAAATACATATTTCTTAAGAACTATAACCATTAAGTTTTCACTTAAATATATTCTGTATTTATTAAATTTCAAATCAGGATGTTTGGCTATTTTTGCTTCAGAAATAATAAGTGTTGAAAACAAAATAATTCTCACCTGCTAAACTGAGAGCCCATATATAATTATCATACAGATAACTTTCATAGAAAATCCCAGAGATCAAACCAGAAGGACTAGCCATCTGTGAAAAAAATAGAGAAATCTATGTATTTCCTTTAAAATATATACACACACACAGTTCAACAGAGTACAATACAATTATTTTTAAAAATCGTTAACTTACTAAAACCTCCAAAAATAAAATAAACTAACTGTACATCTAAGAAGGATTCTTAAATTATGGAAAAATTGAAACTTACTTCTACATATAGAGTTATACAAATGTGACATGCTAGCATGCTGTTTCTATATCGTCCTTATAATGATTCTTCTAATAATTTTTTGTGTTTCACAAGATATCAATCTTTCTCTGTTACAACAACTGGTTAGAATGACATTAACCTTGCAAGTACATAAGGATATAATCTTACTGTGACATTGTGCTATAGCAGAAAAACAGTGCACATTTAACAGTCCCCAGGGTAAGAGTCAGATAAAACATTGTGGTGTGCATCTTGTGCATAATTTTTATACTTAACTAATATTTGGGAAGAACTTGACAAAAATTATAAGAACTTGAATACTGAAAGAAACAGACATACATAATTCACCTGTACATAACATCAAATGTAAAAATCTGTTTGCAATGACAAAGTTTTACATACGTATGTAAACTAGGACATTTCACCGAAACTAAAAATAATGTGTACAGCTATGACTTTAGTGGCCATAATGCAACAGGAAAGTCAGTTAAAACCATTAATGTCTTTCTTGCATTACCTAATAGCAAACAATAAATATTGTCTTAAAAATTTCAAACAAACTGGTATTAAATAGTTATTGAAGAACTTAAAAATAATTGTTGGTTTATGAAAATGCTTGACAAATAAAATAAATTCCTCTTCTACTTAAAGCATCATTTCACTGCTACTCGAACCTTTATTTTAAACAAATGTTGAGCTTCACAGATTGTAATTGATGGAATATTCAAACTAATCATATCCTGCAGAGTGCCTCAAGTCAGTACAGTGGCTTGAATGATCAAGTAAAAAGCTTAGATCTTAATACATTTTATTACATGATCCATACCTTCATTAAATTCCCCCAAAAGGTAACCTTTTGTGACAGTAAATGCATATGGTGATTAGCAAGTAAAATATCCATATGGTTTAACCATGGAATGCTCACCAGGGGTAGCTCTTCAATGGAATGATATGTTTTCAATAATTCCTTTTAAATTAAAAAATTAAAACTTATCTGATATAAAAATTTGAATCATAAACTATATTGTGATCGCCTTATTATTAATTATAAAAATTATAAAAATGAGCTCCTATAATCATAGTGTCAGATAGGGAAAACACATTGAGCATGTCACGAACTAGGAGGTATGGTAGCCTAGGGAGCATCACTTGGTGAGAAACTGCATCCTTCTTATACAGGGATTACACTTTGTCCAATAAAGATGATAGAGCAAAAGTTATAGCCAAAAGAACCATATTGAAAGGTTCTCAAGTATCACATAGGTAGGCAGAATGTAAAACTGCTCAACTGACCATTATCTCTCAAATGTTGGCTGAGTATGAGTGTGTAAGGAGAAAATATCCCAAACCTGTATCCCAAGATGAATACAAGACCCATCTGGCTGGCCTAACACCAGAAATAGCTTGGTTTTTAGTGTAGTGGGGGTGGCCTAACTACACTTCCAGGTAACATAATAGCCCTACTTCCCATCAAGAACAGTGTCCCTTCAGTCCCGTACCAGTGAGATTATTCTGACCCAAAGTGGAAATCTCCATTAGGACTGGAAAAGCAAGGTTGCTCTCATTATTTCACATGAAGAAATGTGGGAGAAAATTAGTGTAAGAGGGGTGCTAGAGAGGTGCTCAAACCAAAGAGGAATCATCACATCAGCATAAATTCCCATACTGATAGACTATGCAATGGGTTACAACGAATAGAGGCAGTAAGTGCTAGCAATGTGGGAGGGCAGGCTCACACCTGGTACAGTCTTTTTTTTTATCCAGAAAGGTAAAATATATACTGCTGAAGCAGCCTTTGGAAAATCCTATCTCAACAGTGAGCATTGAGCAGGAACAGATGAGCTTAACACTTTCTGTTATTCCCCATGTGAAACAGATTTTGTTAGACAATTATTCCCTGTGAAGCAACACCAGCCACTCAGTGGGTTCCACAGTCTCAATAATATTGATATATAGATTAAATAAGATTTTTTTTTAAGTCTCAAAACCAAGAAAAATAAAGAACTCATCTAAACTAGCAGGATAAGGTGTTTAACTCAACTGATGAAAGTGAAAGGACTACTACTGCAGAAGAAGATGCTGTAAACTGCCCTTAAAAAGTATGATTAAGATAACAATGAATAATCAGTACAGAGAAGAAAGGGAAGGGAGAAATATTTTAAAAAAACATCAAATCACTATCTCAAGCAGCCCAAGTTTTGGAGGGAAAGGAATGGTCAAGAAAGAAGACTAGACTTTCCCTGTGGTAAATAGTGTATCAAGCATCCAATGTAAAAAAAAAAAAAGAGAGAGAGAGAACAATGGCTTCCACAAATGAAAAGAAGAAGAATATATGTCTGAAGTAGATATATATAAAAAAGATTGAACCACTCCAGACACAGAAATTCCTCTGCCACAACTTCAGAGTCTGGAAGTGGAGACCCAAAGGGTAGTAGGTATTGAGGGAAATTGGAAAGGCCGTGATGATAAGCCAAAACTCCCACAGTGTAAGCAAATTCACTCCATTAACCAGAGGATGAAAAGACCACTTTGTAAGAAGGATCCAGTATAAGCAAGATACTTTATCCACCACTAAGGCCTAAGCTCCTGAGACATGATGGACTGACAACTAAATGTAGTGATTGTGGGCTCAAAAGAGAAGGTCTAGAGCAAAGAAAACAGAAGTTCTAGAACAAGTGACTCCCTGTCAATGGATGAAGGAAATGATAGAGGAGGTGTCTGAATGAATCATTATAAGAAAGCCAGTAGATAAGATGGTAGATGATGGCTACCCTGCTGAGCAGCCAACATCTCGAGGACATAGATACAGAGAAAATACTCCTCTGGAGATCAGACTCCAAAAATGAATAAGATTTCCAAAACTTTACACTCTATCTAAATATTAGTTTTGGTTGACAGGTTCTGTTTGTCACAAAGCACAAACCTATATAAAGTAGAAGGCTGGGAATCCTGGCTTCAAAATCAGAACAGAACCAACAACCTGGTGTACAATGGCGACATATCATAGTACCTCCATTTGCCATCACCTTATTTGATGACTCCTACTGAGAGATGTCAAAAATGTGGGAACATGAATTCGTAATCCAAATGCTTCACAAAATCAACTTCTCTTCAGAAATAAAAATTGGCCAGATATGTTGATGGTTGATGGGCTTTGGTCATTGGCCTAATGACAAAATTGAAGAGTACTTAACAGAACCTGTATGTTGGGTTAAAATAATAGGAAACAGTATCATCAAAGAAACATTAACACAAACAATAGAAAACACTTCCCAATATTATAAATCTAATCAAAAGAAAAATGAACTTGAAGATAACTGGAACCAAATTCTAACTGAAATGTTTAAAATTTGGAATCCTCCTTATCATTAAATTAAGGAAAGAAAGATTACGTTACAAATGGTAATGAAAGTTTAAAAGTTTTAAGTGCAAAAATGTCCTTAATTCATAAGAAAAAACACATCTGAATAAATCAGTGCTGAGAAACGAATGAGCCTTAGTTCCAATGCTAGGGCTCATGGGTAGTACTGCACGTGTAAGATGTGCACCTTCCTATTGGCTATAATCTAATGATTATTACATCATAAGCTGGTGCAGTGCACAATAATATGTGTAGGGATGAGAGATTCATTCAAGGCTTGTGACATGCACAAAAATCAGGGCAGTGGTGTGAGGTAATAGCCTTTGTTATGCAGAGAGGTGAGTATACATTTCTGAATTAAAGCTTCCTACTCTATTGTTCAACACTCTCAACACGAGCTCAGTCGAGTTGACTGACCATGTGACGTCTTTGTACTCGTATAAAGTCTTTACAGGTTTGATACTACTAACTTCTAATATAGTATGTATATCTTCACAAAATTTGGCAGTCTTTCAGTAAACATTACACATCTTTCACATACAAAAAATAATTGTTTTGTGAAGTATTTTAAATAACTAAAAAAAAATTTGTATACTTTCCTTCATCTCAAAAATCTCAGATTTGATTTGTGTAATTTCTAAAACATACTAAATACAGTTGAAATGTTTGTTTTCAGTGAAACTTTCTATTTTATCTGTTATTTTCTCTACCATAACTCTATACAAGGTTGGGCAATTTGACTAAACTCTTAACCACCAAAAAAATTGAAATAGATCTAAATTACCCGTTTTTTTTTTCTAGAATAATTTTAAATTGCAACATGAAATTACATTCATTTATCCTAAGTAGCTTTAAACTTGTAACAGTATACATCTATTTATGATTAAATTTTATTGTTTCATTGCCCTTTGATTTGTGTCTAACTACTATTTGTACCCTTATAAT